GTAGCCCTGCCCACTTCACTTCTGCCTTCTGAAGAAGAACCATCTGAAGACATCTGAACCCAATAATCTGGCCGGGTACAGTGGTGCACACGTGAAGTGGCAGGTACCAGGGAAGCTAAAGTGGGAGACCGTGTGAAGCAGGAGTCTGAGGCCAGCCTGGGCAACACAGGAAGACCGTTTCAACACACAAACCAATGTTCTATGGTGAATCCTGAACAGGGCGTAAGAAAACAGGATTTGAAGTCAGTCTCGTGGCGCATGTCTGCAATCCCAGCCACTCAGGAGGTTGAGGCAGGAAGATCACCAGTGTGAGGTCAGCCAAGGCGACATACAGAGACTGCAGTCGACTTTTAAAAAAGATAGGTAGCCATTCTTAATTATTTTCCAGGGCTTCAGAAGTGCCAATAGATAAGATGATTCAATTTTATGTGTTCATTTATTTGGAGAAAAATCCTTTTCCTTTTACATGGATTGGAAGTCGTGTTAAGTGACTCCGTAACGAAAGCACATTATTTAACCCACGTGAATACGGAACACTGACTCTAAAATCCTGAGGGAATCTGAAGTTCCAGCTATGTAATAATATGCTCCCAATTCTCCAAAGTGTAAAATTTCATAGAGAAAGAGAAGTGTTTGTCATCAGTGAATACTGATTCCACTTCAGAGATAACAATACAGATAGCAAGCTACGAAGGATACTTTACTAGTCAGCGAAGCCAAATACTGTACAAGTTATACTACAAAAACACATGACACACTATGCATGGGGGAAATGTACACCACAACCACGAGACGATAGCCACCCATTGGGATGACTACTATTTTAAAAACAGAAAACAAGTGTTGGCGAGGATGTGGAAAATTGGAAGTCTTGGGCACTGCGGGTGGGGATGGAAAATGGTGCCGGCAAGGTATCGAACAGTGCAGCAGTTCCTCCGACACCTAAGATGACCGCATGGTTCAGTGGTGCTACTTTCGGCTCTCAACCCAAAAGAAGTGAAAACAGGGTTTCAGAAAAATACTTGCACACCTGAGTTCCCCGTAACACTGTTCACAATGGCAGAAGTGTGGAAGCAACCCAAGCACCTATCAGGCAGATGCATGAGGAAAACGTGGCGTGTCTGTACAATACAGTATTACAAAGTCCCACGTGGTAGGATTTCACTTCCTCAAGGTTTCTAGAACAGCGATGGAACGAGGAATGGTGGTTGCTAGGACCGAGGGGTGGGAAGAGTCGAGTTCCTATGTGTAGTTTGGGCTTTGTAAGATGAAAGGGTGGGTACCAGTAAGACGCTTAATTTTCTGGTGCGCAGATGTTGTTACATCGAGCCCCTCTATGGATTTCCAGTTGTAAGGACCGAGGGTGGGAGGACAGATGGTGCTCTAACCCAGAGAACATCAGTAACCTGCAAAGCAGAACTAAATTGAGTGTGGCATCCTGAATGGATTCTAAAACAAGTTGGAAGTGGAAAAACTGTTAATATCCTGCAGGAGTCTGGAGTTCCATACTAATGCACTATGAATTTTTAGTTTTGAGAAACATACCATGGTCATATTAAATGACAACAGAGAAAACAGCAGCTCTCTAATTTCCATAAATCTAAAATGATTCCAAGCTAAGTTTACTCTGAAATAGTTAAAGGAATAAAACTAAAGTTAGAAGACTCAATTCCTACACAGAAGACAGACAATACACATCAGAGAAAGTCGATAAAGTAGCAAACTACCAATGCCTCTAAAGCTACAGTATATGTGATTTTTAATCAGTTTCTTCCCATTATCTCATGTCCTCTAGCTGCAAATAGGCAGACTGTTAAAATTTATATTGCACTATCGGTTCCTTTATTTCTGGGTGTATTTTTTCATTTAAATTGCAAATATCTTAGTGGGGTCATAATGTGAATTTCCTCCACTGCTTTCCATTTTGGGATACACATCGGGATACCTCGGCTGTTGCCATCTGATTAGGAGCCTGATGTGCTTGGTGGATTCCCGAGCCACCCTGACTCAGTGCTGTTCTCCAGCCACAAGGTGGATATGTGAAATGAGGTACTTGGGGAGTCCTCTGGTGTCCGCACCACCGTGACAGGCCCTACCACCCCTGAAGCCCACGGTGAGTCCCACACCATGTCCACCCCTGCAAAGTGCCGGGATCAGACCCCAGGGCCTTTGGCATGCCAGGCAAGTATTCTGCCACTGAGACGCACACGCCCTGCGCCAAGCCCTTGCTCAGTGTTATCACTGTTACAGAAGAGATCGTGGAACACCTTCCTCAGGAACCAAATTAGGGAACCAACTGATGAAAGCCCCTTCCTTCATGACAAGCTATCAGCCAGTGCTCAGAACTGAAAACAAGACTTTACTCACATGTTGAGAAACAGCGGAGCTTTATTTCCCAGCCCAGCTCATTTTCTATTAAAAGTCTAAGACTACAGTGGCTCCCAAGGATGGTAGAAAATGCAGGAGTGGAGAAATGACTACAGGCATTGTATCTTCCTGCCCGCCCTTCTCTAAAAGCAGCAGTTGGAACACGCCAGGGGCTTAGAATGCAGGTGAGTGAGCCAGAAGGCGCAGGTGCAGCGTGCGCCCTTTCTCCACTGCCCCTCGAGGTCAATCGGTTAGCTGGCTTTGGCCACAGACGGAGTTCTTAGCTTCTCCAGTTCAGCCTCCACGCGATATGAAACACGCACAGGACCGCCCAGGCAAGGAAGGTGGAAGAGTCGGCATTCCTTGGGGTGGGGTGGGGGGGACCACTGACGGGAGCCACGCTGCCACCCAGTGGAGTGGTGATGCAGCACAGGACTTCGAAGAACTGTGCTGATTGCAATTTTAACCACAAAACTGCACTTTTAATAAGGTGGTCTTCAGAGAACCTCAAATTTTAAGTAACTATTTTTGTCTTTAAACTGCATAAATGTACGTGCTTTCTTTGCCTTTGGGGTGGCTACGGAATAAGGCATGCTGATTTTATATGATCATCAATATAATTAATTTAAAACTTTGTGAGGCACTGGGGCAACCTGCCTCTTGGAACATCTATCCCTTTTGTTTGAAAAATGTAAAAAAAAAAAAAAAAAAAAAACTGATTATGAAAGTTTATAAAGCAGCAAGAAAGAACAATGCTAGGTTCACTTCCTCCCACTACTTTTACAATCTATACTGCCAAGTATTTGCACCTCGCTGACTTGAATTCTTGGGGGGCGCGGATCATTACAACACACCAGCAATGATTCTGCATAGACCACATAACCCAACCTTTAGTACGGCCACATGACAAGAGAAGACACTGACTTCTGTCTTCCTTTCAGAAGACACTGAAAGGAACTGGCTTTCGTAACTATTAGTCCCCGGGTGTCACAGTGCCTGTACTGATCTAAGGACTCCTGAGAGTACATAAATGAGTGTACTTAAATGAAACACCCGGAAGAAAAAAAAGAAAACTAAGATTACACACCGCTCATATCCCCATCTCAGACCAGTGTCTCACTACCATGG